TAATCCAGCAATAAGAAAACAACAATTCAATATTATTTATCAAGTGCTATGGAGCAAAATTCCTACAGAGGTTTCTAATCCCAGATGGGTATTAGAATTACATAGGGAACTTTTGAAAATTACCTGTTCCCAGGCATCATCCCAAACCAATTAAATCAGAATACCTATGGATGAGATCAGTTCAACGATATAGTTTAAAACTTTCCTAAGTGATAGAATACACAGCTAAGAATTAAAATTACTGGCATAGCTTTATTTGTAAGCTTTAAAAGTTTTGAAACATTCAGACTTTTCTACTAAGTGATCTATTTCAATTCAGACTACTGTTTCAACTCAAATTTGTTGGGTAAAAAAGGGGTGAGATAATCAAGCTATTACATTGGTAAAATGGAAAATACTCTTTCAATGATTACATTGCTTTTGTGCTATGGATTGTCTTTTTAGCCATCAGTAACTTTTTTACTGATAAGTTATTGATTTCTGTTTTCTTAAGTCACTTTATTTTGTAATTAAAGATAACTTTAGGTGTTGTTTTGATAATATCCCTCTGACATTTTATTGTATTGCTAACCAAACACACCATTAATGGGAAATGGGCTGTGTGCTTCTCTAAACTCATTTACTTTGGGGGAAAAAAAAGCATGCATGTCAGTCAGTCAAGAAACAAGTCACAAGCTGCAGAAAAATGTCCTGGTGACCAGAAAATAAGGCAGTGGGCAGGAAAACAAAGAGCCCATAATGGAAATCTTTTAAGCTTGAATTAAGTTACCAGCTAATGAGAATCCTGCAGGGAACAGTGATAAGGGGCTGGATGTTTATTAAAGAACTATTCATGCAAATTACCTGACTGATGGTGTTGCTGGCAATGGCCCAAGATCCCCCTGATAAGGCAGGACCTAAGGGGCAGACCCCATTAAGCAATTTAGATGCAGAAGCATCTGAAAAGAAAGTAATTAATAATCTTCTTTATGTGTATTCCGGGAGGAGAAATAAAATTATTTATCGAAAGAAAGATCCTTCAACAAATATGACTTAAAATATCAGACCTGGTTGATGACCATTGAAAAGAAGGATCATTTGTTTGCTATCACCTACAAGACTGTGAGGCATCGATGACATGGTGATGCTAGGCAATCAGAAGCAAGCCCATCAGATGTCCAGAGTTAGCAGAAGATGGTTGGTGGGAGGCACAGAAGTTCCTGAGTTTTGCTGAGTCACACACACACACACACACACACACACACACACACACACACACACACACTTTTTTCACTCTCAAAGCTTCCCCTTCTTCATGGGAGAGGAGAAAATCCTCAAGTTTCTCAGACTTTTATGCATTTGAGGCAGGGTAGGCAGTACAGATTAGGCATATATAGGAAATTTCTTATAGACAGTTTTTAGTTTTCAGTATGAAAGCATCCAGACATTTTGTTGACAGGCCAAACCACCATGCAGGCTGGAATGTGGATTCAATGTGGACTGCCAGGCCATCCCACCCTCTCTCTCATCAGAGGTGGAGAGATGGTAATTTCTCCCAAGCAGATACCCCCACCTACTCATTAACATATTAACCACTAAATGAGTATATCAGGTCTTTTTCAAAAGCAAGAAGGATGGTTTTCTCTCACCCATGCCAGCTCTGGCATGTTCCTCTGTCTCTCCCCTCCTCTTTCTCTAATAAATTCTGTTTTAAAACTGTGCTGGCCACTCTGAAATTCATTTCAGGATCAAGTCAAAGAGCCCACAAGTTTTGAGCTGCTCCCTACCCGGCATCACATTCATTCATCCCATATGCATTTAATGAGATATTTCCAAGTAACATACATAGCTCTAGGCCCTGGGTATACAACTGTGACTTTTAACCTCCATTCCTAAGAGAAATTTGGACTTGTAGGGGAAACAAACACGAAACAAATAATGACAGTGTCATGTAGGGGGAAACTAGGCTTTCTTAGCAAATAATGCCTTGTTTACATCCAGCACACTCTTCTGCGCTATCTAGGTCTCCCTATTCATAGCCTTTGAGCTGTTTCACAAGTCTGCAAGTTGTAGATAACTGATAGCAATGCAAAATAATTCTTGCCTGCAGATATACAAATGCTGCCTGTCTAGTAGAGTTCAATTGACTTCTCTCTCCCACAATGGACAAAGTTAGCTACACCTCCATTTGCACAGTTATTTCAATATTCCTGATTTATAAATGTATCTCTTTTTGGACCTCTTCTTTGAACTGATTGTAATATTTTTGCCAGTTTTCTCATTCATGCATTAAATAAAATCTTTACTCTGTGTTCATATTTAGATCTGCATGAGAGTTACGATTTTACCTATCATAGTGCCTAGAACATGGTGTCCCAAAACATGGCACCTGGCATACTGAATATTTTAAGCTGAAGGAATTTGAGAAGCAGCAGTTGCAGGAAGGTCTCTCTGACCATCCCTGGAGCAAGTCATAAAGCCCTCCTGTGAGAGGGATCCTCCCTGTTCCTGGAGGGAAGGGACACCCTTATCTCAGAAGAGGAAGAGATACATAGGTCTGGCTAAGTTTGGTCTTTCCTCCAGTTTATCACTATGACCTCATACTTCCTTCGTTTTATCATATTTCTCCATGACTTTCTACTTTTCATCAAACTTATAAAAACACTCAGGTTTAACCACTTCTTCAGGTCTTTATAGCCTTTTGATGCTTTCAGTGCCATGTAAAATTTATAATAAGTAAATGTGCATGCTTTTTTTTTTCTTGTTCATCTGGCCTTTACTTCAAGGGACCCAGTCAAGAACTTAGAAAAATAGAAAAAGATGTTTCCTCCCCAACATCCTCCTTTGAAATGATCTTTTAACAGTAGACTTCTCATCAGGGTGGTAGACTCAAAAGGGGTAGTGATATCAACTCTAGTTCCAACCACATGGTCTTGTTGGATAAATTAAAAAAAAAAAATAGATATACAGCCAACTGAAAATTAAGAAAGAAAAACTTCCAGCTGCCAAAAATAAAGAAGGAAACAAAGTCACAGCTATGAACCAGAGTTGAAACCCTTTAGCTCACAGAGAAGGTAGGTTGAATGAACATTTACCCCACATTCTGGCTGTGCAGGCACCACACCTGGTGGTAAGATGGACAAATCTCTTCCATAGGGCTGGGGGCTAGAAGGAAGTTAAAACATATGTGAATAGTTATAGGAAAAACATTGCCCGCAACCTGCCCTGGGCCAGTAGAAACTGAGTCATTGAAAGATGGAGCCCTAAAGCTTACTCTACTATATAGGTGAGGAGCCTGAGTCTGAAACACTCATTTGATTAGAAACCTCAAACCAAGAAACGAAGTTAAAAATCACATAGAGCCAATGAATCTTGTAGGACCCTGAAAGGACCCTCAACATAGCTTCCAGAATTCCAGTAAGCTATGTTGAGGATGGAACTAAGGCAGTGGTGGTGAGGAGCTAGAGAAGGTGGGGCGGGGTTGAGAGATCTTCAGGAAGCCAAACAGTTAGAACCAGCCCCAGGTTGCACTAGGAGAAAAGGAAAAGTTGTCTATAATAATTTCCAAGTTTTTGACTCCATTAATGAGGGAATAATAGTGTCATTAATAAGAATGGAAGGAGAGAAAGAAATAAGTTGGGCTGGAAACTGAGGTTATAAGAGGTCCAGTTTTATGTTTGGATCATGTTGAGTTTAAGGTCTCAGCAGACATGGCTAGCAAGCAGGTCTGTCCAGAGGAAGGTCAAAGAGTATGGGTAGAAATCTAGGAATCTGCCAGTGGGAACAAGAAAGAATGGGATTTCCCAAGGAAAGTGTGCCCAGTAAGAATTGAAAAGAAACAGAGACAAAACTCTGAGGAACATGAACATTTAAGGGCTGGGTTGGAAAAAGGAAGGGAGAAGGACAGCCAGTTAAGTAGGAGGAGGAAGTGGGGTCACAGAAGCCAAGGTAAGAGTTTCCAATAAGAGGCAACAAATGTTAAAGAAGATAGGAAATGAAGACTGTCTACTGGTCTTTGCAAGTAGGAAGATGTCTGTGGTAACAGCAAGGATCACTGAAGGCAAACGCCTGATTTTAATGGTTGAGGAGTTAATTCCTCATTCCAGAGCACTCTGCCACAAAAGTTGGCATCTTCCCTAAGAGTACTATCCTTTTCAAAGATGGAGACCTGCAGAAATGAATGTCAGCATTCATTCACTCACCCATTTATTCAATAATTATTGAGCACCTATTATTATAAAGAACTCAGCTAGACAATGGGTATGGGCATCTATGAGACTCAATTCTAGTGAAAAGAGTTTAAGCTGAGTGAGAAAACAGAATAAAATAAACAAACACAGCATAGAGCCTGTTGTGCACAGGGCCTTATAGGAAGATATCCAATAATAGCTTGGAAGTAGGGCCAGGAAGTGCTCCCAAAGGAAGTTGTTTCTTGGCCTCTGTCTTAAATAATTGCTAACTTTTATGTAGCAGCTCTCAGAGGCCATGCTACATAGTCAGTACTAAACATTTAATTCATTTTTTCTTCATAACCACTTCACTGGGTAAATATCATGATTTATACTTTACAGATGACAAGACTGAAGTTCAGCAGTTGATTGACCTAGGACCACCCAACTAGAAAGTGATAGTGCTGGAATTTGAACCCAAGAATACTGCTTCCAAAGTCCATGCTTACAGCCACCTTACTGTACTGCCTTTTTTTAAAAAGCTCAGAATATACTCATGAATGTAGTGGGAGGGTTATTCTAATCCAAAACTGGGCACATACAAAGAAACACAGGAGAATGTGTTCTGATATCAGTTCTATTAGGTTCCCTTCACAGTTACCCTGGAGAAAAAAATTCTCCCATGGCTGACTTCATTCCAGACTTATCTGATATCTAATTCACACTGTGTTTTCATTTTAAATCCAGGTCATAAATTTATTCTCTCCACAGTTAGACACTCTTCTCCTACTGAACTCAGCTATTCTTACCCACAATAACCACATCAATTTCTTTGCTTCTTTTAATACTTACACGGCCTCCCTTTCCATTCTCCCTGATTTGACTCCAGCTCTGATTATTTTCAAATTTCACTTCCAAACCTCTCCTTTGTCTAGATCTGTGTATCATCACTCCGACATTACTTCCAAAACTGTCAAGCAAAGAAACAGAAACTTGATGATCCACATCAGTGCTTTCCTTCTAAACGTCTCATCTGCAAGTGTAACCAAAGAAAAGAGTTGCAATCTATTGTCAGTTGAACAGGCTCATCTTCTCCCTTCACTATTCACTGGTTGTTCAACATTGATAAGTCACAATTGATGGTAAAATTGTCAATTGCCATTCTTACTAACAGATGATCCTTCATATGCATTTATTTAGAACTAAAAACAATATTTCAAATTCTAAACTTTGTTCTGCATGGGCACAACTTATTCCTTATCTAAAGTGTGACCAATGAGGGGACACTTCTGAGAGTGAAAGGAAGTTTTACTAACTAGGATGCTGGGCAACAACTTAAACTAGACCAGGATGTCTAGACACCCTGATTATCTACATGGCCTTCTTGTTGGCTGTAAAATTTTGTGAAAATAATGTTCAGATTGACCTGGATAATTTTAAGCAACAGATTTAAACTTGGAGGAATGAGCCAATACTTATTCACATTCTACTTCCTGTCCTTCCTGATCCACAGTGATGTATTTCACATATTTGACAACCAGAGAGGCTCACTTCTCAATAATTCTCCCTGCAATAAAATTATTTTCAGAAGTAACCATTTGATAATCAGTAATAATCATTGTTCTTGATTTGTTCTTTAGTTTTCAAACAGTTACTAATTTAAACATCATTCGCTTCCTTTTTTTTGAGTCGAACTCACTCTGTCTTCCAGGCTAGAGTGCAGTGGCACAATCACAGCTCCCGCAGACTTAGCTTCCTGGGCTCAGATGATCCTTCCACTTCAACCTTCAAGTAGCTGGGACTATAGATACACACCACAGCACCCAGTTAATTTTATAATTTATTGTAGAGACAAGATCTTGTCATGTGTCCCAGGCTGATCTTGAACTCCTGGGCTCAGGCAATCCTCTTGCCTCAGTCTCCCAAAGTGCTGGAATTGCAGGTATGAGCCATGCACCTGGCCAATTAATTTCCTTTTGAAAGATGCTCAAATTCAGTACAATATTTTATCCGTAAAATTAAATTTGTACTTACCTAACAAAAATAGTACAATCTGCAATTTGCAGTCTATTGCATTGTTTTAAAATTCAATCACAAGTAAAATTTTTAAATGGTTGCATAGTGTGATGGAATTGAAATAACTCAAGCCATTTCTTTGCTTTAGAATCTGTGTGTATTACTGCTTCTAAGACATCCGTCAGTTATATAGAGGGATGCCAGTGCCACAGGGTCAGAGGCATGCATGGTACCCAGAATGACTGACCTCAAACATTTCCTAACTGCTAAACACATACTCTTATAAGCACATGTGGTTGAGTCTGTGCATAGCAAAGGCCAGTGAATAACTCAAATTAGCTTCTATGTCAAATGCAATGTCTATGAAGGGCTGTGTCCAAAATGTGCTAATGTGACATTCACATGTATTTTTAGTATTAAAACTCATAAATATTGCAGCAATTTTTACAAACTTATACAAATATAAGATTTGTGGGAGGGTCATTTTATCACTGAAATTGTTTCAAACTGTTGACCCTTGGTGATAAAAAATAAAAAGCAGACTGACTTTTAGTTGAGTTTGTTATTTTCTTACATTCCCTACAGACAATGTACCCCCCTTTGTCTGCACTGGGCAGATCGCTCCCATTGGCCCAGTCTTGGAAGGGCTCTGCTTCTATCAGGTCATGGCAGCTCCTCCAGGCCACCAAACTACGCCCTTCCTCTGGGTTGAAGATCTCACTTTTTCTTAGCTCTCTCTGTTTATTTTGATGAGTCATGTTTCTGCCCTTATAATGCACTTATATGACACAAAAATGTTTTTAGACAGACCCATCCCTCTCAACCACAGGGGGTGTCAGCAGGGTCACATCCCTTCAAATGCTCTATGGGAGCATCCTTCTTTGAATCTTCTGATGACTCTAGTTCTCCTTGGCTGTGTCTTCATACTCCAATTTATTCCTCTGTCTTCATATGATCTCTCTGTGTTTCTCCTCCGCATGTCTGTCTCTTCTTTTATAAGAATGCTTGTCATTGGATTTAGGATGGATAGTCTCATCTCAAGAGATCTTGAGATCTCTAATTATATCTGCAAAGATTCTTTTTGCAAATAAGGTCACATTCACAGGTTCCTGGTGTTTGGGCATAGACACATCTTTTTGGGAGCCATTATTCAACACACCACAAAAAATAATAATGGGTTAATTCAAGAACTTCCCACAAATAAGAAGTTGGAGAAAAGAAAATTTCCCTTTGTAAAATGAGGGTTGGTATGAAGTGAGAAGATCCTAGTCCATTGTCAAATAATTCTGGATGGGGACAAGTGCACTGGATGGAGGCTGAAAAATAGCAGGAACCCAAGATGTCAAGTCAAAAGAGGCTTAGGTCTGTACCTGGTCTCCCCTCAGAAGGGAGCAGTAGGAGTCAAGAATGCCACACAGAATACTTTTAGTGGGCAAAGTGTGGTCAGAACCTTTTGTGGACCCTGCAGGCACATGTGCTAGGCTGGTGATTGCTGACCTGTTCCCTCTTATGACAGAAGGAAGAAAGAGCAGCTGAGAAACCACAGGGCATTCCTTAGGACTTGCTGGGCTAGGATGAGGTTAGGAGCAAAGGCTGACACAGTTCAGTTATTCTGAGGATGGCTTTCCTTGAGGAATAGTCTGGGCCCTTTCTATCAACTGTCAGGAGCTCCCCAGAAGCACTAACAAAGGGCTGTTTCACACTGAAAGGTCTCCGGACTTGATGGTCCATGAAAACTCAATGAGCTCATTTTTTTTTCCTTCCAAGTTGCTCCACTCCCACACCCGCAAACGCACATTCATTATCCTGTCACAACTCTGCTAAAGGATAAATTTTAAAATAATGGTGCTCTGCACCACAACCCTAATTGCCTTCAAACTACTGTATGTTTGCTTTCCTAGCATGTGTACAAATGAAGTCAGAAGATCTAGCTTCATTTGTTTTTCAGCTTGTTCAGCTGGGAATGCATACTGGAAAAATCAGTGCAATTTCTAAGTGCCCCAGAGGGTCAGGATGAAGTTAGTTATTACCCCTCCCAACTCCGTCCAGATGGAGCTAGATTTCTAATAACTACCACAAATTTTCTCAAAAACATAGATCTTTTCAAAAACAACTTTCTTGCCTTGTTTTGCTATATTCCCCAAACGCTGAACTTCTCTTCTTATCAGCTTTTGATGAATGATCAGAAATCTTATTTACAACTTCTATGAGTGAGAATATGACTCCTTTAGGCCTGCTTACCCCCACGACACCAGAGCTGCAATAGTTCTGAAACCCATCAAGGCAACAGTCAAGTGATTTTCAAAGTCATCTCTTTATTTATTTTTTTTTTTCAAAATAGTATATTGGACATTTGTTTTTCTCTTTGATCATTTTATGGTAACTTGAATTTCCCCATAGCTCTTTGTTTTGAAATATCATAACTTTTAACTTTCATATTTTATTAATAACAAAAAAGTTGATGGAAAATAAAACAATAAAGCCTTTGTCTACAGTTTTCTATGACTACATACGGTTGAATGTTGCAACCATCAGGGTTCTGAAATAAGGTTTTAAAGCAAGAAGAAAATCATAGAATGTTAATTATGAAATTAACCATTTAGCTCTGTGGCATCAAAGCAAAAGAAGTTTCCAAATAGGGGATGTAAATAGACACTGTGTATCAACATGCCTTCTTTCAGCCTTGCAAGTGGAACAAGGCTGCTGGGCTCAGTGGTTGATACAGTGTTTGTAGATTTTAATAGGAACATATTGTGATATTGGCTATTGAGTAATAATATCTTAGAATCTTAAAGATCAAGACATGGAAAATAAATTATTAGCATTTAAGATTTGAGAGGGGACTAGGGACTAGATAATAGAGTCAGCAAATACCAATGTCTCAAGAAATTTGGAAGTGATAAACTATATATGACTTTCAGAATTTAAATTTACTTAAACTATCCATACTAGAAAATCTGTTCAGTAATTATTTTTATTCCTCCCCTGTACTTTATAAGATAAATGGAAAATCAAACAAAGGGGGCCGTTGGGGTTCTTTGCCTGCTAGCAACAGAAGTTGACAGATTAACATAGAGGAAAAGGAAGAATGTATCAAAAGGCATTATAGGATAGCTCATAGAATTAAAAGAAAATCTGAAGAATTAGATCTTGGGAAAGGACATGAACCAAGGAAAAGTTAGAGGATGTGGTAGTAGAATCTAACAGGCAGGCTGTTCATCAGAACCACAAGGATGAACAGACATTAACCATTTTCAATCTCGGACTTCTCAGCTAAGAGTCCTGTACCAGGGAGAGAGCACCTGAATGACAGGCCAGGGTCACACAGCAACCCCAAGAGCAGGTGGGCTTCTTGATTGACAGTCCCAGCATGACGATTAGCCACAAATGGGAAGATGTTGTTTTAAAAATTGGGGTGTTGTTACCTAAAGAAAGGGAAATATATGCTAGGTACGCAAAAACAAGGGATCCCACCATGATATGAAACAGTGTTTGGTAAACTATTGAGCACCACATAGATAGTAGTTGTAATCATGATGATTCTACTGGTGGTGAGAGTGGAACAAAAGGAAGAGGAGACAATGGTTTAATTTAAAATGGAAGGTGGTAAATGGAGAAAATTGGGCCTCCCAGTGCTTACAACAGTGCTTACACTGACTGTACAGAAAGAGAAGGCGCAGCAAACGTACCCTACACGCTGAACTTCAGCATATAACCTCAGTGTACAACCTCAGCCCAAGCCCTGTGTCTGGTCTGTATTATGAATAGGGGGACATAGGGGGGAAAAATTAGAGAAAATGGTGGCTAGAAGAAGCAGTGATGAGTTTGAGCATGTTCCACTGAAAGGAAGAAACTGAAACTGAAAAGAGAAAATAGTTGCAGGGTCCAG